GAAGTCTTAAGAAGATGTTGGATAGCCATTTGTCTGAAACAGTGTAGGGTTTTCTGCCTAGGTAGAGGGTTGGACCAGAAAACCTCCAAGGTCCCTTCCAACTCTGCTATTGTATTGTATTGAGTTAAAGGCTCTGTAGAAAGGCCCTTGTGGGAGATTTGTGAATGCATTTTTCAAAAACTCTTCTTCACAAGTGAACGTCTTTACTTTCCCCAGTTTAATATTTATTTTCAGATTTGTTCTGCTTTTGGTTCTTTTCTTTTAAAAAACAAACAAACTATATATAGTTTTGCAGATAGTTCATTTTTTTCCTAAGTGGTAGCAATTTGTAAAGACAGCCACTATAATAAAATAATCTCCATAGCATCTTTAAACTTGCTATAGTCTAATAAATAATGTTATGCATAATTGTAATTTATTTATTAGCACTGCTTTGGTCTACAGTGGGAAAGGAAATAATTTATTTGATGTAGAAATATAAGAGTTGGTTTACTCATTCCAATTAACTGGCTATTTAGGAAACAATACATTTGCTGGATACTTTTGAAAAAGAGCAGGATTTGTCTCTGGGGACAATTTTTTTTAAAGGAATCAGGATATTATATGGTAGGCAACCATATGACATTTTGGCAAACAAGAAATTAATAGTATCAAGTGAGAGATTGCTAAAGATATATACATCAGAAAAATTCCAGGCAATCTCAGAATGTCTCAGTGAACACAATGGGTTTTTAATATATCAGAGTTCTTACAATTCTTAATTGATAAGTATTTATAATCTGTTTCATATATGAAACCTGCATCTCTGTAATCAAACTGTCTTTCTTCCCTACTTTCACCTACTTCCCAATTTAAATTCTGCATGCCTTTCTATGCATCTGATAGAGGTGGTTTGCAGCTCACAAAACTCTTTTAAAGGTTCTTCCTTGTAATTTCTTGGAAGAGAGTATAAAAGATTCTGCTACAAATTTTTGTAGGAATGGATTTGGATTTTTGTGTTAAATTAAGGATGGAAGAAATGAAAGTCACCCACGAGAGACTTTTAAAAAATGAAGAACTGGAGATTTTTCATTTTGTAAAATGTACAGTTTGGCTGAGGGATTTCTCCTGCTCTTCTCTGTCATCTCTGTATATTACAAATATAGTTTCAATGTCTGCACAGATACCATCCACAAGTTCTACAGCTGAACTGATTTTGGTAAGCCTAAAAACTCCCTCACATTACATAACTGAAGGATATCGAATTGTATACCTTACTTTCTTCTGATTACAATTGATTTAACTTCCTTCCTGTTCAAGATTGCTGTGCCTTCTGAATTTACTATACTACTTCTTGCATTTTTAAATAATTACTCTGCATTTTCTCCCCCTAAATTTACTGTTTGTCTTTTGTCAATAATTCACAAGCTGAATGTTTTGGCTTGTTTAGATGATGTATCAAGGGTGTCATTGTCCCAAATTCAGATGGATATTCTCTCTTCATTTTAGATTTGGGCAAAGGCTTTGAGTGGACTCAGGTGGTCACTCTCAATGTTTCACAAAGATACACAATAGCTTATATCACTTTAAGGTCTTGAATGAATGAGAAATCTGTCAATTGAAATCTTCCCCATACTCTATTCAGAGACACCATCATCACTCTAGAAAATACTACATTATTGCTAACTCTTTACTAGTTGAATTAATATTTTTTGTCCTGATTATTGGGCGAGCCTGTAGAAATTGATCTTAAGTTTATTCTGTATTTGATTTTTAACTGGTTCAGTTGTAATACTATTACCTTTTCTTATTTAGTATCAAAAATAGTTCAAAAATAAAATAACTGCCATGAATGTGTGTGTGGTGAAGGGAAAACACCAGATTTTTTGCCTAAACCATAACGAGAATTGCTTTCTATTAGTAGTTTCATCACCCCCAAACTACACATTCATCTCTATCAATTACATCAGGGAGCTCTATCTTTTTCCTTACTGGATGAGGACTTGTTGACTATGATGAAGCTCATTCTCATCAGAAGACATTTAGTACTATACTAAGCAAATGCTATGAATGAAAAGCTGGGAAGCTAGGTAGCCAATGTAGCTGATAATTCAGGGTGTGAATTTAGTGCATTGACTCTGGTTTTCATGGTGATGTTACTATAGTAGCACTGTTCCATGCTACTAAGGACTTGTGTCAGAGGCTAGTTTTCATTATTCCAATTCCAAGGCTTCACAAGTAATGAGGCATTGTGCATTGTATGGACCTGGATTTTCCAGATTTTTCCTAGCAGTGATATAATTCTTGGAGGCAAGACAACCCTTTTTGAATGCCAGCTAACAAAATCCCACTTTGAAACTGCGATTTTAATTTCTAAGCTTTTAGGAGCATAAGAAATATGGAATTATCCTAAACACTAAGCTTGACTGTATATTCTAAAGTACATGGGTAGTTTGTATCAATTGCTTTAATCTTCTTTTTCTTAGATTGAGTAGATTATAGGCCAGTGATGGCTAACTTTTTTTGCCATTGCATGACAAAAGTGGGGGGAGCATGGAGGTTGTGCATGTGTGTGCACACACCCATAATTCTATGCACCTACCCCCCATGCATGCACGTGCAACACCCCCCCTGCTCCCCCTGCTTTTGGCATGCAATGGCACAGTGGACCCATTTTTCCCCTCCCCAGGCTCCAGAGCCTTTCTACGAGCCTGGGGGGCATGAAAACAGCCTTCCCCACCCCAGGGGGCTCTCCGGAGGCCAGAAACGGCCCGCTTGCTGACTTCTGGTTGGATTGAAAGGCTCGTTTTTCACTCCCCCAGGCTCCAGAGTCTTTCTAGGAGCCTGGGAGGACAAAAACAGCCTCCCCTCCCCGAGGCCCACCGGAGGCTGAAAACAGCCTGTTTCCCAACATTTGGTGGGCCCATGTGCATGCCGGAGTTGAGCTTGCGTGCCCACTGATATGGCTCCGTGTGCCACAGGTGCCATAGTTTCATCATCACAGTTATAGGCATAATCAATCAACACTATTTCATGAATTATCATTGCAGTGCCCTGATTCTTTGATGTACTCTCTTTTTCTTGACTATTCTATTTGAAATGCAGATGCTTCTCTGTACAAAAACAATCAAAGTTTTCCATTCACAGGATTTTATTTCTATTGCTTCGTATTTCCAAGCTGAGATAGTACCCTGAAACCAAGTCTCAAGACGTGTTGTTTTATCACTCCTTGTACATTTTAGGTTGAGATATTTGCATCCATACTTTCACAATTCCATCATAGAGAGATTGGTTAACGTAGGTAGTTTTCAACAGTGCATATTTCCATATCAACTTTTATATAAATCATAAATCCAATTCTTTCAATTCAAAGTTCTTCCCTTCAGTCTTTCAATAGCACCTCAAATATTTACAAAGTTCATGTATTGGTAATGATCTGCTCATCAAGGAATAAGATATTTTCTTTTCCCAGTAATTCATTATTGGTCTATCTAATGGTAGAAGATGTGTGTATTAACTTCATTATTAAATTTGCTTTTCTAGATTTTAGATATGTATGACAACTAGGAAAATCTCAAATGACCTTGCAATCCACATTTTTAGCACTTATACTTAATTCTTGTAGGATTAATTTTTCTTGGGTCTAGCGTGGTAATGAAGCTCATTGCTCTTTTCTTTATATATTTTTGTAAAATTAATTTGAGCTCAACTGTTTATACGCATTCACCGTTCCCACCAATAATAGAATAGCCATATCATCTCAGTCAAGGATATCTGGTTTTTCCACATTTCTCCCCCCATATTCCTAACTATTTTAGTCATTAAAGAAGATAAGTTTTGAGGGCATGACTATAAGACAGATATGATCTGCTTCAAAAAACAAGCGGTTTGTCAATATAAATAAACTTCAATTTAAAGGGCCTTAAACTTTCAAGAGAAGGTTAACAGGCAAGATACTCCATGTGGCCAAGAATAAATCTGCAACTATATTTGAAGTTGTTTTCAATAAAGAAGAGGTAGAGTTGTAGTGAGATAATTAACCATAAACCAATTTTGTTAGCATTTTTTTGTCTTAACTAGGGTACTGTTTTTCCCCACAGTGTTTCTTTCTGATTCAATCACACAGTTCAAAATACAATTGGAAATCATGCCATAATATATTCCTGCTTGGTCTGACTTTCTGACGTTTATTTAGACCACTATGTTGATATCTGGATCATGTAATTTACTATGCTTGATTGAATAACATTATCTTTGATGCTACGTTAATTGGCTTGGTTTATCTCTGATAAGTGTAGTATACTATGCAAGGAACCACAATAAAGAGGGACAATTTGCTCAGTAACTTTCATTGATTGGCAATCTCTGCATTCACACACATTTCTGCTTTCCCAGTATGGGTAGTTACCTCACTGAGGTAAGTAATAGTCCTGACCTTCATGTATGTGCAATGGGAGGAAAGCTTTGTGCTCTTTGGATCATCTTTATTTCTCCACCACTTCCAGGAATGAGAATATGGCTATGCAATATGACATGGCCTTATCCTTCCAAGAAACTCTAAAGGAAGGAGGCAGCTTCTAAACTAATTTTTTAATGCAGCTTTATATAACTCTGGATTTTTAAAAGTTAAGCAAAGAGATGAATTTGCCACTTTATAGTTTTCAAAAAAGAAATGCTGTTCACTTTGGTGGCTTTTAAAAATGTACACACACACACACACACACACACACACACTCCCTCCCTCCCTCCCTCCCTCGCTTTCAAAAAGTTCCAGAGCTGTCATTGCATTGGTCAGGATATTATGTGATACAGTCTAATGCAAGCTCTTTTATTGCTTTGAGAAAGGTTATTTAGGATTAAAAATGTAAATTTTAAAAGAGTTTATGACTATGTACACATTGTTTTGGTTATTCGACACGTAGTATTTATGTATTTTAACCAATTTCTGCACTGGTCAAATTCATTTTCCTGGGGAAAACAACTGGAAAAAAAAACCTTAGAAAATGTCTTTTGTGTTGTAGAACTGTCCATTATGAAGGTGGTGCTGTGTCAATTCATGCTCGTTCCCTTTGGCGACTGGAGACTTTGAGAGTTGCGTAAGTAAATGCTGGCATAATATATCCATTATGATAACTAATATTTCCTTTTGTCAAATGAAGAAGAGTTTTTTGTTATTGTTACAAAAATCATAGTATGCTAAAAGGTTTTGATTCCATTTGGAAATAGTACCAATATTATAATGTGTAATCACTTAAGATATCATTTGAATTAATTGTAAGTATGTGTATTGATGCATACTGCTGCCAAATAGTGTCTCTTTCAAAATATTTGGTTTGAGGAAATCCTGCAGAAATGAATGCTTATTGATTGATTGATTGATTGATTAATGAGAGTATGTGTGAACAAAGGTAATGTCACAATTCTGTTTAAAAAATTAAAAGCCAACCACTCAGATTTTTAGTATTTTCAAATTTGATTAGCCTCAGATGATGATTTGATAAATGTACAGTATTTTTTGCTTTAAATTCAATTTGGCAGTAATGTGGCATCTGCTACACAAATAATTGTATAAAAAAGTACCTTCTTTTATATCAGAACATATTCCAGCCACATATTTGTTCTTTGCTTTTTTCTCCTATATTCTTTTATTGGAAAGTTAAGTATTTAGTTAAAATAATTAAAATTATTATTTTAATCATTAGCATACCTTTGTCTTCTTCAACCACACATTAATACACAATTCTTAAAGTAAGCAAATTAATTTCAGTTGCTGGGAGAGGATATTTCTGTCAATGCATGTAGGTCAATTTGATGTGCATTATGTAAAGAATGAATATTTATTATATATGATATTGTAAACAGAACTCAGCATTTTGCAGCCTTCTGTTGGTTGTATTTGAGAATGTGCTTAACTTACCCTATTATTTGTCTCATTTCTTTCTGTTGATTTCATGGATGTAGATCTGTTTGTCTTCTGATGGCCCACATGCATGGCTCATCTATGATTTGGTGAACCACCAAAACAAATAGATTGGCTTTCCATTGAAATTAACAAGTATTCTTAACTAATAAGTTGAGGTCTTGTTTGATGTCTGCCTTAAATGTCTTATAGTTAAGATATCACTGAAAAGTAATTTCAGCATATCTTTAATTCTAGAAATAAAATTGAATGTTCATGTTTCATGTTTTCATTGAATACTTAATATTTTAAATTGTTTATGAACGCTCATTTTATTTTTTATTAGATGGAGTGGAAGTCACATTAGATGGGGGCAGCCATTCAGATTAAGACACATAACAACAGGGAAATATTTAAATCTCATGGATGACAAGAGTCTTCTTCTAACAGACAAAGAAAAAGCTGATGTGAAATCTACAGCATTTTGTTTTCGATCTTCCAAGGTAAATACTTGTAATAGAAGTAATTTCTTCATTTAATTTAATTCATTTTAATTTAATTTTCTAATTTAATTTAATTACTTAATCAGATGTCTTTAGACATCACCCCAGTCCAAACTGATTCTGAGTGGTATACCATTAAGCCAAATAAAAATAGAAAATGCAATATATTAATAAATAAATAAGGAATGGAATACAGAATATGAATAGGCCCTATGCAAAAAATGAAATAATAATTAATCAATAGTTAATTGTGAATAATTAACCAATACTTAATGCCTTCTTTGGTACATATTGTCTGAGGATTAGTACTTGGCTTAATATCTAGTATCTGGTTCAGGTAAATCAAGGAGCAGTTAATAGAGAATTGGTGCAGTGTTACTTGCTTCCAATAGCAAGAGGGGAAAAAAGCATTTTGTAAATCAAGATATGATTGCTCAAAATGAACCAATAACAGGAGTCACTTCTCATATCCAGAGTCCTTTTATACAAGGTGGGTAGCCTTGGGCAACATCAGCTTTTTTTCAATCCCCCAGTATCTTTGTGTGTGCCCTTTAACACCTGTTGTTGAAACTTGGCAGCAAGTGTTTTAAGGCTAAGAATGGGAGTGGTTTACTTCTCAGAGGCTTATAGCTTCCAACTCTTTGGAAGGTTGGATTGTGACTCCTGACTTGGACATTTCTTAATGTAAGAAGAGTGATAGAGATAGCTGAACAGCATCTTATATTGGTAATTTTTTTTAAACCTGTGTGTTTCTATTGCTGCATTTTCTATTGCTCTTTATTTTATTTTGCTTTGATTTTCCCTGAATTGGTAAAAATCTTCAGATTATCACTTACTGTCTTGTTTGTCCTAGCGCACTAAATTGTTTCATTTATTTAATAAACCTGTATGACTTGACTCATACCACATACTACCTAAAACAAAACAAAGCACATCATTGTTCAGTGTGATTTATGAACTCAGCCACTTTGTTGAAGTGCTTTTCCTTAATATGTTGCTTTTTTCCCCTTTATCCATTTATATAATATCTATTCTATTTTTATTGATGACAAATAGTAAGATAAGACTACAAAACTCTCAGTTGCTCATTTCCAAGCAGACACAATAATTTTAAATCAATAGCTTTATTGAGACAATTGGGAAGCCATACACAGAAAGAAGTAGTATGCATAGCAGCACGTGGGGAAACATCAGTATTTCTTGGGGTGGGTAACGTCTCCTGCTTAAAAGAGACAGTGGCACAATCTGTCCTTAAGAGATAATCTCTTGATTCAATTATATTAGACAATTTTTGCTCAATGTCAAGTCTCTCTTTACCAAGGAAGATTCTGGAGAAGGTGATCCGCTTTATCTAAAGACATTTTTAGAAATAATGAATTACTTTGATCCCTTGCAGTTAGTATTCAGGCCTATGCATGAGATAAAAACAGGATTGATTGCCCTAGTTTATGAACTTTTCTCAGGATGTAGATGAAGAGAGAATATGCCTCTTGGGTCTTTAGGCAGTGCTTGAAACATCAAGCAGATTCCTTCTGGGTAGCCTGAGAGGTTTGCAAGAGGGAAGCAGTGCTTTATAGTGTATCCACTTTTGCCTTATATGCAGGCGAAAAGCATGCAAGAGGGAATAAAGGTTAAACTCCTGTTACATGGCAATGAAGATATTGCTCAAAGGTAGCATTTATTTTCTATGTTTTATAACCTGACCATAAATGAAGGGCAAACATCAGTCAATGAAACAGAGCTTTCCCCAAACATGCAGAATCTTTATTAAATATGAGATAATTGAAATTCAGAATGGGAAAAGAATTGTGCCAAGTTATGAAATCCAATTTTGTGAGAAGTGTATAAGTGCAATGGAGGACCATGGGGATGGGGGCAGGGGAAGATATGCTACTTAGGAAGCAATCAGATTAGAGGGGCAGGAGTCCTCAATGGATTAATAGTCAAGGGAAGAAATTTAGGAAAGACTCACCCAAATTGTTCAGATGTTTAAAAGTGGCAGGAAGCTTGTACTTTCAGACTTTCAAGTTTCTGTTAATGCAAACTTACAATAAAGTAGAATTAGCTCATCTACTCTTGTTGCCTATCTGATTTACCCATATGCACTGACAATAAATGTAGTTTAGATCTTGAGGGGGGTTGCCTGATAAAACCATTGTTGAAAAGTCTCTTAATGTTCCAACAATTCATGTTAAAAAGACAATAATTACATTTGGCTGGAAGAAACTATTAGGAAAAAATGTAAGGGAAATAAGGTTTGATCAGACTCTGGAACAGATATATAACCACAGTCCCCAAATTAAAAAATCAGCTTGAATAACGAAGTGTCATATGGGTTGTGGACAGAAGGAACATTGGAAAACGAGAGTGTGTTTGAATAGGAGCAATATTTATTGGCTCTCCGAATATTTTCCAAACGGAAACCCTTTCTTGGTATGACGAGTAAGTAATGCAGTTAAAGCAGTAACATTGGGAATAAAATAATGAAAAAAATGGCAAAGTCCTAAATGATGAATATCCTTAATAGTGTCTATGAGGGGAGGGGGGATGGTCTAGGATAGAACAGATTCAAATTTAGCTGGCTAAATGGAGGAAGTGCTTTTTTATTCTAAGAAATGTGATAATCCAAATAAATCAATGGAGGAAGTGCTTTTTTTCAGCTTAAAAGAAAATAAAGCTTATGATTGTACAGATGGTGCAGGCTATCCTAGTTGCTGCATGTGCAGAGTGGGATCCCCAGATTAAATAAATTAATTGTCCAAATAAGTAATCTGAAAAATGTATGATTGGTTCTGTAAAAATATGATTCACAAAACTTTGGTAGATAGAGCTATTTGGATGCCAAAAGTCATTTTTGTGGATTTATACTCAAAAACATTGAAATGTTCATTCCATTCTTTGATGTGAATTAGACCTCAGGGTAGTTTAGAATTTAATTTGGTAAAAAACACGGGCTTTCTGCAGCTGTTACAAAAGCCTAGAAATAAGAGGAAGAATGCAATGATCCATAATGATTTTACATTAAAAGAACCAGCAACTATAAACTACTGGGAGTGAGCCATCCTTATTAACAGCAAAGAATTTGCAGGGGAGGAAGAACAGTAGATAAAGCCTTTCTGCAACCTCTCATCAATCTTTTAGGGTAGACACCTTTGACATTGACTAGTGGTGTTTTGCGGAACTGGGCTTCATGAATGACATTGATAGCACAGTCCCAGAGTCTGTATAATTGATAGCTAGAAAGGAGTGTAAAGTACTACTTGTCCTGTGAATTGTAATTCAGTTCTTTAGGTCTTCCATCTGTAGCTGAAGCCATCTACCATCTTTGCTGCTATCCTCTTCTTCTCTTTCCTTCCACCTTTCCCAGAATTAGAGTCTTTTCCGGAGAGCTAGAACCCTCAGATGTGGCTGGAGTAGAATATTTGATCCTAGCCTTTTTTTTGTTTGTTTGTTTTACTTCTTCAAAGTAAACTTCTGCTTTCATAAAGCATTACAGGGATCACCTTTGCTTGCATTATTCTGAGTTTAAGCTGTCTGTAAAGTGGAGTAATAACAGGTTCTGTGAGAAAAATGTATTTCTGGATGATGAAGGTTTTTATGAAGTAATAGATGGCACTGGACTCTGGTAGAATATGCAGAGTCCATCTAAGTCTCTAGCATAGAGGAATGATTAAATACTGCTAAGTACATAACTTGGCAGGTCTGAGCTATGTTTAATATGTGTGTACCCCTGTTTCTGAGGCTTTGGAAATTGATACTCATTTTACTAGAACCGTGGTGTTTTGAATGACTGCTTGCAACTGCTTGTGTATAAATAAATGTGACAAAAATGTTGATATTGCAAAAGGGGAAGTTTAGTAGCACAAGTATCCAGTTTCTCCACAGTATAAGCATAGAACCTGCATGCATTGGTGCAATGTTTCTTAGGAAGAAAATGGAACTCTCAGTTTATATTATATGAGGAGGGTTGTAGAGAGAGAGGTATATGTTAAGTGTTGGAGAGTAGCAACAGAAGCAATAACCATAGGTCATGTGCAGGAAACAGTGTACATTCTGTTCCATTTATTGGCCTTGGTTTATCATCCAGATTAACTGTTCCATTTTGGTTGCAACTGTATTCTGATACTGGCACAGTGTGATGGAATTGGTGATTTGCAATCTTGCTTAATCTTGGGTCAGAGTATGGGCTGCCCTCCTATACTATTGGGAAATATAAATATATATATTTACAAATGATTCTTACAAATGATGGCTATACAATACTTGCTCAATCCCACTTTCTCAAGTAGATTGTAGCTTTATTGCAGAGAGTATTTTTTCTATAATAACGTTTAGCAGCATACAGGAAACTTTCCATATGTATGTCAGACCCAAGGTTTGAGTCCTAGGCTTTTTCAAGGCCAATAAGAGTTTGGCAGCCTTTTTTTTGCAGCTTCAAAGCTACCATCTGTTTAATGTCTACCAAATAGCTATCAAGGCTCTCACCTCAACACTGTCATAACCTTCAAAATTCCATATTTTCTTTAAATAGGGTTGGTGAAAATCTTATAAAAGGAATGAAACATTTATATTCAGAAGTTTTATTTTTGATCTATTGGTTTGCCAAGAATAATCTGACTACAATAAAAATATCCTTCCTTCCTTCCTTCCTTCCTTCCTTCCTTCCTTCCTTCCTTCCTTCCTTCCTTCCTTCCTTCCTTCCTTCCTTCCT